ATCGTGCAAATGCTTGCTTCTCATTTCCGCACGAATTTGTCTAGGAGATGAAATACCAGTAGTTTGTTCACTTGCATGCGTCGATTGTGGGTTTTTGGGTGGTGATTTTGGTGTTAAAACACCCAAATCAAAGGTTGAAATATCAGCTAATATAGCTTTTGATGATTTTTTTTGGGGAGTGTTGGTTTTTTTCATGATTTAGGAGTTGAAGACAAAGATGGAAGTGAATTCAAATCGTGGGGGATACAACTGAAGGTAATTAAGTGGAGAAGAAAGTGATGGTAATTGTGGGTGAGAAGATATTGTACGAGAATGTGGGGAAAACTGAAGGTAAATCGTGGGGGTGAGGGGGAATTAACTGAAGGTAAATCGTAGGAGGTGTGGGGGGTGGGAGGAGAGAGAGGCAGGTAAACGAAATAACGTGAAAATACGGTCCTAAAATCACGCCTACAATAAATGAAGGAATAATTATACCATTAATTTGAATTATGGTATATAAATGGTAATTTGGTATGCTTAAATGTAATTAACACAATCCTTAAACAATGAAGGTAATAAGGTTTGATATATGGTATAGATCGGTAAAAATCCCTAAATATTAACTCTCTAGGCCCAAACACCCTCTTATCCGCCTCAGCCCAACCGGGTTTTGACCCACCAAATGACCCGCCCGTTTCCCTTAATATAAAACCTCTCTTATAATTTTTGCCCCCAAATTCCCTAACCCTAGAGACCAAACAGCTGTGGCGCCCCCTTTCTATTGTTCATCATCTTCCCCAACTCTCAAACTCACCATTGACTCGCCCGAGCTCACTCGTTGGTCCCCCCTCTCCACATCACCTCTATTTCCAACGGATTTGTCATAAAGGAGTACCATTATTCCCTCGAAACCGCGGATTTTTCGTACAAAAGGACGATTGCTGGACTAATTGGGGTCGTGGATAGATGTAAATCAATCCATGCCCTCCATTGGTCCCCAAATCGTTCAAAAAATCTGAAGATTTTCGGATATTTGAGCAGAAGGTTCGAGAAGTTTCGAGAAGTTTCGAGGGTATATATAT